CACTCGTCTAATCAGAACGAATAGTTGCAATCTGTATTGTCTCGACACTCGTCTGACGTGTATCGCCTCATCACTCGGCGATCAGCTGATTGTGTGTGGGTCCTAGAACCAATAATAGCAATCTGTTTTGTCTCGACACTGGTCTAACGTGACACCGATCGAGGGGCGCGAACGCGAACTACGGCAAACGGGGCTGACACTATGCCCTGGACGTCGAGATTGGGGGAGCGAGAGGGTCCCTTCTACTACCCATGGGGGCCGCTGAGTATTAATAAGGTAAAAACTCAATAACTTTTTTATCGTGAACGGTGCCTTTAAGGTAGGTGAGTAAAGTTGGTACGAAAACTATCTGACTCATTTCCTACTGAAACGTTCCGTTCAGGGTTCAACATGAAAACGCTTTTTTTTCAGAGCATCACAAATTCATACACCACTTACATAAGCACCTCGACTGCTAGCAGTTTTACAGCTAAACAAATTGTTTTGCATCTCTCATTAGCGATTCTCGATCCTAACCAGTTTTCATGAAAGCCACAGTTCACGATAAAAATGACCTTTAAAATATCCCGCTAAAATGAATTTGTGGATCCCTGTGTATGCCGTATGTGGCGCTGTCATGCCTGAAACGGCCTAGATAGGGCGTTATAAACGTTTAAAGATTGCACCATGTGTATCCTCGGACGGCATAGAAGGAGCGGCACCAACCGCAAGGAAGCCAATGTAGGGGATCAAACAACTTGTCATGACCCATCGTGACAGTGGAAGGTAGTAATGCACAGTTTCGGCTTGGAGTAGTCAACTCTTTGCGGAATTGCAACGACTGAAATCTCGTCCGAAAACCCCTCCCATGTTTTTTTTTCGTCATGTCCATGTAGTCTCGACGTGGAGCAGATATTTCGAAGCTGTGATTCATGTGTTTCCTTCATTTCATTTCTTGTTTTTTCTTCTGTAATAGCATCGTGCTATGTATGTCTATGCTACAAGGTGAGTGAATTGAATACTCAATTCGTACCCCATCCTAGCTTTTCGCCCGAGATGAACATCTCACCCCCACCCCTCGCTCCTCCGCTCCTCGGGCTTAGATTAAAAATATGTATATTGTTCCGCCTAGAACCACTCGATGCACATTTGGTGTCAACTAACCCCCCCNCCCCCCCCCCTCCCCCGCCTTCTCCGCGCTCAAGCTCTCAGAGTTAAATAAAAGTGATGCCTACAGCTACATTTTCTAACTACCTTGGCGTGAGCCAGACGACCCAACTGGTATGTTCAAAATCTACCACGCCTCGTGGTTGTATCTCTCTCTTCAGAAGAAAAACCACCAGTTCGATATCTTCGTGACAGCGAAGCTGGGAAGCAAAGCAGAAGATTCTTCAGCTCCACCCAAAGGGAAGAGTTTCGACACCTTCAGGGCCTTCACTAGTGCAAAACATTCGCGCAAAGTAACTGTTAACGACGAAAAGAGAATTCTGAGAGCTATTTCGAAGAGTACCTCATCGTTGAACCGAGTTCAGTAGGGATTGGATTTCTCGCCGCTGAAGACTACTTCATAGAGAACTGTTAAAGGAGGAGCGACATTGTCAGGGCAGTACCGAAGGGACCCTCAAAGTTACCGATCACCACAAGAAAACGCTGCTCCAATTTACTGAGATTAGGCTGGGAAGGGATCGGACGAAGGCGATTCTGTAAATTAGGTTAGCCATGCAGTCAGACATTTTCGTTCAGGTCGTATTTTCCGATAAGGAAAGGTTCGATTTGGACGGAACCGATGATTACAATCATTATTGGGAAATACTGGGGCAATTTATACTGGGTCCGATCATTCAGCTGTCGCAATTTCGGAGGAGAAAGTGTCATGTTATGGGATGCCTTTGCAATGATAACCTCCCGGAATCTTCTCTCGTGACCTGTTCAACTTACTTCAAGGAATGCTGCAATCCACGTCAGCCGTTCCACGAAAGAGTGGTTTCATTGCCATAACATGTTGTAGAAGATTGCCATGACAAGGTGTCAGTTATGGACAACCAAGAAGCGGGCAATAGTTGGAGCTCGGAATGGAATCTTTGGTTTGGTATCTGGAAGCCTTGTTTGGATTGTGTCATGTATACTAGTTGATGTTGGGCTAGAACGTGGAGAACGAGGCAGTCATTCATTTTGTCGTAGTGGCCATTACCTGTCACCTGTCGTCCCGTTGATCATCGATTTTCTCGCGCAGATGCCAGTAACGTCTCCATTCATCCCTGCCAAAAGCCAAAAGAGTCTAGTGAATCGTACTCACTCGACGGGCACGAGACAGAAAGTTGTTTCCGTTTAGAGCTTTCGTGAAGACGTCTGGGTGTCGCGCCGGTTGTCGTCCTGGTGCTCGTTTGATGCCCAGAGGGATCCAGCTTGTAACCGCCCTAGATCAACGGTTATCACTATATCCCATGACGTGCCCGACCCACCTAGTTTTCGATTTCTTGGTGTAATCAACGGCTTCCCTGATCTTCGTTCGTTGATTAAGCTTGGAACTCTGGGTTCCTTTCAGTACTTGCGTGTTTACGGCAATTCTGACCATTCTCCTCTCTAGAGCGCGTTGAATTGCGTTGTTAAGCTAACCATATACCAATCGAACAATGCAAAAACCAAAAAATGCCCGTAAAAATGTTAAGATAAAGGTAGGTTGAAAAAGGGTCCCTGAGTTTTCAGGTCTCCCCCCCCCCCCCCCTTATATATACTTCTGAAGTGAAAAGAATCAGAGCAACTACTGCATATTCGTCGATATTACGCCACCTACATAGTAGTAAATACCATTCAAATGTTCGGTTGATGGATCAGATCGTCAAGCCAGTTGAATGTTGCTGCGCCAGCGGACTCGAAGAAATCTTTATTTGATGATTAATGATCTCGAAATCGGAAAAACGAAACGGAACTAAATATTATACCTTGTAAAGGACGCATCTTCTCTCTCTCTCTATAATGTCCCAAACTCGCAAAGCTGCAGCGAGTAAAAACTCAATCTCTCTGCTTCCGCGGGACAGAGTGGATTCAAGGATGGACTCCTCGTGAATTACAAATGGCTCCAAGTGTTAGCATTTTCAAATAAAGACTGAGGAAAATAAACCTGCTAGGGCTTCTCGGAATTCGCGATTTTCAGTAGTAGTTTAATATTACAGTTCTTTTTTTCCAGTGCAATTCTTCAATGTTGGGATAGGGCATCGTTGACTAAACCAGAGATGGCCTCTGTTTCTACCTCTTAATTCTTATTTTATTTTATTTTGTTTTTTGACGAGTGTTTTGACTTTGTTGACTTTTGTTTGGTTTCTTTGTGTTTCTTTTCAGGTTGGATAACTTTCTTAGGCAGAACTATGGTAATGAAGCTCTATACCAGACTGCAAAGTTGGAAGCTGCCAATGTTTTTGAATATACTTCAGTGGCGGATCGAAAATCTCAATTGGCATTTATTTGGGTGAAGTACTATGCATTGCCTGGTCCGTTCTCGTAATACTTGCCTACATAGCTTGGGTTTTCCACGTAGGTGGTCGGTGTACCGTGTCTCGAAGTTTCGTCAAGCACCTATTACCCCATATGTGGCGACTGGGCGTCATAGCCGACTGACGTGGGTCTGTGTTGCGGTTCTTTTCACGGAAATGCATAGTTTTTGCTCTTCTTCTCCACTACGCTGAATCGATAGCTCACCTTCCGCCTTTTCGCCACTGTTCGAAACCGTTGCGTGGAAGCTAAGTAAACAAATAAGTAACTAATACCCAAGTGTGCTTCCGACTAGGTGGTCTAGTAGACATTTGTTGT